TTTGTTGCCCCAGCACTCATGCTTCTTATTAAAATATTACATAGCAACGTGTTTTTTCGTTTTTTTTCGGAAAAATTAGATGCCCTAGGGCATAAGCTTATGATATTACTTACGAATATTTCCCGACTTAGGTAGTAAATATCTTATGTGATGGTCATTCTAATAATTTTTTTAAGTACATTTTTAGATTATTACATTTGCTCCTAATAAGGTTGTTCTCATTAAAGCATATTATGGATTAAATAAAAAAATAACAATATAAGGTAAATGAGCATTGCAGATTTTAATTTAAAACATACTCTTATTGTTAAAAATGTTACTAGGTATTCGAAAACAATACCTTTGTCCAAAAGATTTTTAAATTAAGGCACTGCGCGAGGTTTTGTATTCGAGCCTTCAACCGCAACAAAACTATACACTGCATGCCAGCGCACTCTGAACGAAAACTGAGTTTTTAAGTGGACCGGTGCATTTTTAATTTTTGTATGCATTTCATTTAAAATATTAAATATTGAAAGCACAGGTCTAAAAAATTTAACCAACTTACTATTGTTAATTTTTAATTAGAAATCTGACCTAATAATTGCTCCATCACATCAGGTTTTCGAGAAATTTTAACCCAAATGTAAAAAAACGCTTTTTGTTAAATCATGAAATAGTTTTTCTCGCAAAACTAGTCGTTATCTACAATGTGTTTTTACACTTTCGGGTTAGAATTTTTTAAAAACCTGATGTAAAGTTATATTCGAATTGAGTACGTCGAAAAAACACAATTTAAAATTAGAGAAAAATGAGGACTTTTAAAAATGCTCATAAATGCTCAAAAAGCATTTCCCGACAAAATTAAAAAGCGGGATTATAATATAAACCTGGTTTTTATTAAAATGCTCATAAAGTGCTCGAGATTTTAAAAAGTGCTCGATATTTGCGTTTTCCGCCATAACTAAAAAATCGGGATTATAACATATCCAACAAATTAGTTAATTTTCTGTTTACAAGCGTTTAAAAATGCTTGAGCATTTTTGAGCATTTATGAACAACGATATAAAATACATATATATATATATATATATATATATATATATATATATATATATATATATATATATATATATATATATATATAAAATACAATTACAATACAATACAATATCTCCGGATTGAGAGTAAACACATATTAATTTTTGGTTTTTCGAAGAAATCTCAATCTTTATAAAAAGTTTTGATCCTTGAAAAAAAAACAATGACATAAAAAATGGAATATTATCTACTATTTTTTTGATATTTAAAAAAAAAGTTTTTTGTAATTAGGTAAACAATAAAATATAAAGATTACAAAGGACACTATAAATTCTATTTTGTTTTTCTATTAGATAAACAAATTTTATTACGTAAATGATATTTTTTTGACAATGAAAACATTTTATCACGAATAACTTTTCTTTCAAATAAAAAAAAAATTTTTAGACAAATTTTTTTAAAGGTTGTACTTCTCGCTTAAATGGATTTCATCTTTTCCTAAAAACCCTGTAGATAAAATTACAAATTGTTACTGTTTTTTTTTCGACGATTAAAACAAAAAGTTTAAGAATTAATTTTTCTTCTGTAAACTGAACATACTACCTATATACCCACTGTAATGATTTTTTTTATTTTATATTTATATATTTTATTTATATTTTATTTTATTCTGTAAAATATTAAAAACGTTTAAAAACAAATAAATAATCCCGGAGCATTCGCCATTTTTTAAAATTATAATTGAAATTGTTTTTTAAAATTCCTAAATATTTATTAATTACAAAAAAATATGTTTTACAACCTTGGTGCCAAATTCGTAATAATAATTTTATATAACGAACAAATACGTACCTAATTGTAAATTTATTAACTTAATAATTTAAATAAACAAAAAGTATTGCTTCTATTTGTTTTATGTAACAGACAATAATATTTTTTGTTATTTCCACTAATTTAATAATAACTCAGTAAGCCAAGACCAAAAACCACACTGTGTAACGTGCATTAATAATAATTTATTATTTTCTTACCACTAATAACCAACAACCTACATAGAGTTTATCCACCCAAACGCGTTATTTACATCACAGTAAATGTGCATTGGCGAATCCAATTGACTCCTACCTTGACTTAAACTGTTATTAGTTGATTTTATTTATAAACGAATGATCTAATTATTTACTGAGACTGAATTTATTTTAAATTAAACTTTTCGACTTTACTTTCTATAGAAAATAATATCTAGAGAAAGCGATTAGAACAAGAAATTCTCCATCGCACCTAGTGTCCTGTTTATTAAATTGCGACTTGATGTTTTAATTCTGTTTTTGTATGTAACAAGACATATATTTCTTCTAGTAATAAACCAAATTATATTTAAATTAATTAAATTGTGAGTCTATTTTTAGACAAATACAAGTCATTCCTCTCCGCTGCAACTACATCGTTCTATTATTAAAAGCCAAAACATATTCTGGTTAAAACTGGGTTTGATTAGTATTAAATTTGCTTATAATATTCAGCTTCTCCAACGACATGGATGCATAATTAGGTTTATACCTATTCAATAATATTAATAATGTACTATAAATGTATACATGCATAGGTATAATTACATTTTAAAAATAGTTAATAACTGATGTACAAAAAGTAGGTAAACAAGTGTTTACATTTATCTAACTTTATTGCTAATGCGTAGACGTACGTACATGCAAAATTATAATCCAGTGTAAACCGGAAAATTTGGTTGCAATTTATTTAATTTTCATTATTTGATGCAAATAAAACTGGTAGGTTTTTAACATTAATAACTTAGTTTTGCAAATTAGTTCTGAAATATAAATTTTTGATAGAAAACATGGCAAAACGAAATGTATTCTTCGATTAATACAAAATTATATTATATATTAATATTTTATTATATTATTATTTTATTTTATATATATTGACACATTTTTATTTTATTTCGAAGCAACGAGTATGACATGTTTATATGTAAAGGCAATCACCAGTACAGTCAGAGAAAAAGTAAAAGTAAAACCAGTCAGGACCCGGAAAATATTCAGTCAAAATTGAAATTTCCCTATTAGGAAATTTAAATTTTATACAATTTTTTTTTGCGCTAAGTAGTTCGTTAAATCCTATTTAATTTACAAACAGTTGTATAAAGATCGATTTCTTCTCCAAAATTTTTGTTATAATTTTAAAATAAAAAAATACGTAATTTTTTCGCAAACAAAAAATATTTCAATATTTTATTAAATTTGGCGTGAAATTACCCAATCTAAACTAAACTATAACGGTTTTTAAAACGTCTAAAATGACCAAAAAACTCGTAAAACTGTCTAAAATAACCCAAACTTTTAATATGAGCCAAAACTATCAAAAAATATCCTATAACTATCCAAAATGACCGAAACTGTATTATAGTCTAAAATTTCTTAATTATAAAATAAAAAAGTGCATTACCGTTTTCCTTGACTCCGTTACTATTTTTCATGGAAAAATGAGGCCACAAAATTTACAAGCCAATATAGTCTATATATATTATATAGAAAGACTTCATATTTGTATGCAGTCCAAAAGTAAAAATATTATAACGTACAATGAAGAAAATACATTGCAATTACATAGGAAGAATGGTCCCATCTATAGCGTTTACAAAATTATTAAATTCTTAAAAATATAGTATATACAACACGGCGGAGAAAGCATATTAACTGCCTCGCTCAGATCTGCAGCCTCGGCAGCAAACACTGAGCTTGGCTTTAAATAAGCGCTTTCTCCGCTTGTTAGATAATGTACTATTTTTATTAGTACAATTTAATACAAAAATTAATTTTTGACATTTTACTTTCCATGTTTGAAAGCTTACCAGTATATTATTATATTTATAGTTGCCAACAAAATACAAAGTTCATAAACAACCTGTTTTTTAATTCTGAATAAAATATTACATTGAAAATAAAATTTCAAATTAAAAATGTTCGCGAAATAATTGCGACTCATAAGACAAGTTAATTATACGTAATTTACATATCACAATTTGTGTGTCATTAATAAAAGCTTATTGTTCTTAAATCGGTTCATTAAGGCAATTCCCCGGGCAATTCAATTTACATTTAAACTTTAATGATTTAAACATTTGTGCAATGAAACAAAATCTTAAGTTTTATTATTATGGATATTTTAATGCCATCAATTAAATTTTATTTATTTAGTTGGACAACGTTAAATAAAATCATTAATTGTAATCTTTAAAACTCGATAATCCTTTTTTTTTGTTACATTATATCCTTGAAAAATCCACAAACAATACTATTACTTGAAGAACTAAGCCCATTTATTAATTCACGTTAGATTATTAGATAATTATTATAACATTATAATGTTTTATGATAAAATATTAAAACATTTATCAAACAAGTTTTATTAAAATATACTTTCATATAGGGATCAAATGTTGATTGACTGATTTTACATTAAAAATCAAAAAAGATTTCAAAGGGGGGAGTACAAGTTAAAGTTGGGGTAATATAATTACAAATTAAAAAAAAGTGCAAATTTTCTTTTTTGGGTTGGAATTTCTCGCAAACATAATGAGGTCAAATTAGAAGGATTCATCACGTGAAAAACTTTTTAAATTTTGTAGACCGTTGTAATTACAAAACCTGTATAATTTCACCAGATTTTTTATAAATTAAGACGTATTTAAAGTTAAAGAGTTAGTAATAAAATTTACTAACATTAAAATATGCTAAAACTATGGTGTTTTTGCTAAATCGGTTACCAAGTTTAATTTTTGTACCATTTAAAAAAAATACGGTATCAAAACGATATTTAAAAAATATATACCTATAGATACAAACTTTTTCTTTTAAATAAACTGCATTTATTTGCATTTAAATGTAAGTTCCTTTCGAAAATAAAATTGTATTATTATAAAATGTATGTAAATGTTATCTTGAAAAGTGACTCACCTTTCTACAGCGGAAACCAATGGGGCAATTGGAGGGGAAGTCAACACAGCCTCGTTAGGTATCTGAAAATAATTAATGATAGATTTGCTAACAATGAAATTACCGGTATACACCAGATATAGGAAGAACGGTCACCAGCAAACCGATTTTAACGATTATAATAGTTCACCTTCAAAAATAGGAATCAGTAGGTATACAATTTTAAATATTTTAAATAAAATATTGAATTTTATTTTTAAAATTTATTTATTTATTCTTAAAATCAAAACCTAAACATGTACTTTATGAATTTAATGAGTTATTTTAATAAATAGAAAGCTATTACTATAGGGTATAATACCCAAGGGTCCAGAATTGCTTACTTGAAAATATATAAAAACTATAATAATATAGCAATAAAACAAATGTAAACTATGTTTTTTTAATATTATATCACTCACAAGCCTTTATACAAATACTTCACATTTGTACGTAGTTCAAAAGTCAAATTATTATACACCGCAGTACAATAATGAAAATACATTGAAATTACATAGCAAGAGTTCCATCTAACGCGTTTAGCTCAAAATCAGCAAAGAAAGTGTAAACTTTACAGGTCACTGTAAAATAAACGTCCAACCTGACAAAATGTCACAATCTCGGTAATTTTAATGGAAGTACAGAATTATTAAATGCTTAAGTATATACAACATGGCGGAGAAAGCATATTAACTGCCTTGCTCAGTCCTGCAGTCTCGGCTAAGGCATCGGCAGCGAATATTGAACTCGGCTTTAAATAAAGTTTTAAAATAAGCCAAACAAAAAATAGGGGATAGTCATTTTTGTCCTCTTTGTTATTTTTGCTTTGCCGATTTTTCGAATTAAGACCCCAAACACTTTTAAAATTCTTTGATTTTGGACACGCCCGAAAAAACTTGTTTCATGTTTGTACAAGCATTTTAGTTATACCCTGTATATAAACGATGATAGGTTTGTGTATTTTTTTACGTTATTGTAAAGTGCGGATGAATCTGGTTTAAGCGTATAGAAATTTCATTGAACGAGCCTCCCAGATCACTTTTTCCAGTAGCATGTGAGAATTGTAGGTATAGTGGCGGTTTAGTTTATTTTCGTTTAGTTTCGGTAAGTCTATCATGTCATATTATATATAACTGGTTATAATTTTATAAACGTAAACGCATTATGTTACTCCCGGCACATTAGCCAAAATTGACAATATACAAGGTGTCCCTAAACTTAGTGGCATAAATTTAGGAGCAGATTAAGCAAGTCAAAATAAGACGAAAATCTAAATAAATATTAAATATTACGTATGTTTAAAAGATACAGGGTGATAAAGTGTTACTTATCATATCAGTTTTTTTAATATAACCTCTACTATGGTAGTATTGCAAAGGTGATATTTTGCGAACAGTCAATTCCTTCCAAAACACATATTCACACATAATTGTTTGAGTGAACACAGTGTCGTAGAAACGGGGGTTGCTTTAAGCTTATTGTCCATACAAACTGAGGTTAGGTTTTTATAACATTTACATTACACAGTTCGGCTACCATTAAAAAGGTGTACCTCTGAAATTTCTATAAAATAAAACGTTTCCGAGATATTCGAGATAATAATTGTTATATGGCATTAAAGGACTAAAAAGTTTCTACGGCACTGTGTTCACTCGAACAATTGTAAGTAGGTATGTGTGAATATGTATTTTGGTAGTAAGTGACTGTTCGCAAAATATCACATTTCCAAGTCTACCATAGTAGAAGTTATATTAAAAAAACTGATATGATAAGTAACACTTTATCACCTTGTATCTTTTAAACATACGTAATTAGGAAAAATATTTATTTAGATTTTCGTCTTATTTTGAGTTGCTTAATCTGCTCCCAAATTTATGCCACTAAGTTTAGGGACACCTTTTATAATACTTGTAAATGTTGTATGTAGATAATGTGTTTTAAAGGGTTTTATTTAAAACATAGAAAAATACATCAAAATTTGATTGATATATAACCAGTTCTAACCAAAAAGCAATGATTAAAAAAATGAATCGTTTAACATTTTTGATATAACCAGTATGAACTCGATGTTTACCTCTTTTTTATTAATAATAATAGTTTACTTTTTATTTAACAAAGGCCAAATGTCCTTACATCTTTTTTAATTTAAATTATAATTTTTGATATTGTTTTTTGCCTTAATAATAGTATGTACAACGATTGAGAAACTTGGCCATTTCGGATCTTTAAAGATTTACATTAAGGGAGTTGAGATCGAGTGAAAACAAAATCGCATCAGATCCTCAATGAATATAACAGCCAATTGTTTGTGGCGTTCATATTGGTCTAGAAAAACTCAAACAACGTAAATAATAAAAACAAAAAAACAGCAAATTACAGTTGCAAATAAACTTTAATATGTTTTAATTATTAAATGACAAAAATAAATTAATTTTAAATATGTCGATATGAAAACCGAACCACCGCTTTTTTAAGCCGGACTAGATAGTTAGCATCTTCTATTGAATTCATTTTATATCGTTCCCAATACTTCAAAAACTCACGGTGAACCGATTCTCCTGCCTGTTCAGACCAAAGACCGAAACCACCAGGTAATATCCTATCATTTTTCAAAAAATGCAGCGAATGCTGTATATGTTCCAGACACACGTGAATTTTCAAGCTCTCGGATACGCCCACAGCCTCAAACGCTTTCCGTAAAGCCTTAATCCGCTCATCAATTTCAAGAGAGGCAATGTTGGTAGAAAATGAGCTTTCGACGACTTTATTCATTGCTTTGAACGCCGACACGTATTTCATAATTCCAAATATACCTACTTCACCATAAATTTCTGGATCCAAGAGCATATCTGCTTCTTTTAGTAGCTTACGGCATGCATTCCCTTCGAAAGTTTCGCCTTGATAGTTCTTTGCAACCAATTTTAGTTTCTTTGGCCACTTAAGAGCCCGATCGCGACCTAATAATGGCACCAATCCATTCCAAAATAAATGATTAACGTACCCTTGCAAGATGTGTAGCTCTGGAATACCACATTTTTCTATGACGTAGACTTCATCATCCTCTTGAAACAAAGGGGGATTTATTGTGCTATGGCAATCTCTGGCAAAATTTTTATTTTTTCCAAATGATCGAAATTTCTCGTAGCTATTTCTTAAGTCTCCATAGGTTTTCAACTTTAAACATTTCGCTGATGTTTCTTGAACACAAGCATCATTACTTTCTCTATAGCTTTCAGAAGAAAAACATGTTTCTGTATCTATTTTTTCAGCCTCAACGGGATGTTCCTCAATTCCTCTCAAGGTTCTTAAAGATATGAAACAGTACGGACAGGGATACGACGCTGTTGCCGTTTGCTGACCATTGACTATTAAAATAATTTTAAAATCTGCAACGAATTTGAAATTAATTTTAGTCAATTTAAAAAGCAAATCCATGTTTTCATATGAAAACATGGATTTGCTTTTTAAATTGACTAAAATTAATTTCAAATTCATATATATGTCTCTTTTATCTGTGGCACAATACACAGCATTATTAATCTGTGCACACCAGTCAATTTTCTTTCCCTGTTTACGCTTCCACCTTGGCTGTAAAGAGTTCTCTTCTTTTTGGTTATGAAATCCCCTTCATCCTTTTCATGGATCGTATCAGGATTATAATTTTCAGGCATAATTGTTAAGCAAATTTTGAAAAAACCCTGTCCACCATCAGCCATTACTTTTACAGCTACATTTCCAGTTTCATTTCTTCGTTCAATAACCTCATTTAATATATCTTCAGCATCACACCATACAACCGGCCTCTTTGCTTTTTTCTTTTCCGCGTATTTACCTTCTATTTCAAACTCAAATTCATTAATTTTGTAGAGAGGCTCTAGAGCCGTAGATCTAGTAGACAAGTTCTTTTTGTACCTGACAGCGACCGACTTACGCCCAGTAGAGCAGCGTATAAAATTTGTAAGCAATTTCATCTGATTAGTAGAAGTCCCAGAAGCTACTTGATAATGGTACAGACCTTCAGATGAAAATTTTACGTCTTTTTTTACTTTAGAATTGACAGTCAATCGTTGCCTTAAGCCTTTTGTAGCTAAGTTGATCGTTTTATTTTGTAAAATTTGTTTTTTACCGCTGAATTTTTCTGAATTAATAATTTTGTCGCTTATCAATGATGTAATAACTTGCTCTTTTTGCCTCTCTGGTAGATTAACGATCAATTTAAGGGCATTTTTATGTGTCTCTGCTGCTGTGCAACAATGCTTTAAACCTTTACCAATTTTGACCAAGCATCTGTCGCAATATTCAATTTTGCGCTTATGGTATTTTTTAAGTATATTTTTGGGTCCCACCTTCGTGATAGAAATATTTTTTGAGCCGTTATCAATAACTTGATTCGGATTTCGAGTGTGCCCTCGGCCCTTAATCAAATTTTCGTGTCCCTTGAACCTCGAAGGCAAGTGGTGCAAATAGCAAGAGGAAAGCAGGGATTCATTATTTTAAAATTATTATTTAAGAACTTTTGCAGTAACGTTTGCATTCTTTCATTAATTAGAAATTTTGAAGAATTAGTTTTTCCAAAAATAATCTTTCTTCCGCAGGCAGCACATACTTTTTTTCTGTTTTCTTCATGGCTACATTTTATTTTAGAGTGAGTTTTCATTTTTTTTAATAAAACGGGTTAAAAATCACAACAACAAGCCAGACACAAAACTAAGAACTAAGAATTAACTTTGACATTTATTTGACATTTATTTTCATGGCCTCTACATGAGTATAATCTAAAAGAATTTTGTAAACATGGGGAACAATAAAAATCAATAAAATAAATTTTTTTTTACCGAACTCAAACAAGAATTGGTTATTTTATCCATTGAGGATCAGGTGCGATTTTGTTTTCATTTGATCTTAACTCCTTTAATATTAGTCTTTAAAGATCCGAAGCCCGATTTCGGTGTCATTTTCATGCAACCTTTTTTTGGTTCAGGCCCACTGTGGGTGGTTTAAAAAGGCCAAAGTCATTTCATGACAAATGATACTAAGGGTGAAAAAATAAATATGTTCCTTTCGCATTTAATCTGATAAATTTTGAGAGAAAACATTCCATTATAATGTGCGACCAAAAAAATCTAGAAGATTTAAGTTAATTAGTCTTCAAAATCTGTACTTAAGTTAACTGGCTGAATGACCATTGTGCTCTCTAACTATTGGTAATACTATGTTTTTACCAATTTTTTTTTACCGATAATAACGATTTTACCCTTTTTGTCGATTTATCAATCGTAATCAATCGAAGCTGCTTAAGTTATGTTAAAGGAGAATTCATTCTATTTATGTTTATTTGTTACTTACTTATTTTGTAGTACTTAGAGACTTAGAACACCGAGTGTTTAATTTTTGTACTTGTAATACCACAAACAGAACCATGGTAACACACGAAACAAAGTAAAATTTAAAAAAAATATTAAAACGTTATTTGTGACAGTGATTATGTGGTAGATGGTTAGTAAATATTATACTTTTTGAGGCCTGTACGTTTTAGAATTGTTTTCCTAAGAAAATTTGCCGAATTTCAAATAAATGTAACAATGGTCAAGACATGTAGGCGGTATCGTGAAACACCCGATACGCAAGCTTTTCGACTATCCTATATGCTAAACTGTACTAATTTTACAATTTAGATAGAACAACTAAAAACGTAGAGAGTAAGCTTTAATTGCTAAAATATTATTTCAAAATAGCTTAAAATTTATATTTTGCTTGAACAATATTGTAACACCCGAAACGATGGAATGACCCGCCCTAAAATAAGCACCCAAGCAAAGTGGCTATAGTGGGCTGTTTTAAGCAAGTAAATAACGACTGGCAAATATAGGTAAATCTTCTTTGAAATTAGTACTTGGAATTAGATCAAATTTTCCATGAACTCAGAGCGCAGAGCACAGAGGGGCAAATAATGTGTGTATAGTTGGCTAAATCTTCTATAAAGACAGTACTGACAACGAAGGACATTCTGTAGACTACGACTAGGAACGATAGGCCCATACTGCGAACTAAGAACTCCCCAACTGCAAACAGTAATCCCAAATGTTTGTTGTAATATTAACGTCTCGGTCTAGGGGGATCCCGCGTCGTAATTATCCCCTAAACACAAAAATGTTTATCTCCCCGACCCGACCTCCTTTATAATACAACCGGGCGTATAGCAACGGCCCGGCGAAACCGGGAGGGGCCATAACAACCATTGGCATGTCACCTTCGAGCCCCAAATAGGGTACGGTATGGGACGCGGTTGACATTCGCACCCAGCAAACACAGGTGAAGCCGTGCAGTTGCTGGTGGCGGAAAAAAATCAGCGTAGGGTAACGGGTGACCGATATCTTGACCTCAAATAATCGACTTAAGCAAAGGTCTTAAGCATCCTGAAATTTCATCTGAGCGACAAGAGGTCCCTTTTCGCATCACATATTATTACAGCTATGTTGTGTAGAAAGAAAAATAACGTGTAAACCACGGCAGGAAAGGAAATTTTTTTCTTTTAGCCTGAAAAATTGTCACCTTACCGCCAAGGTCTAAAATATACTATTTTCTTGACTTTATACATCCCTGTTTAGCATGGACGTGTCAGAATTTTTAGAAATATTGTTGGCGAAAAGTACTTTAAGCACTTTGTATTTTGTTTGGGCGTTGGGAAATATTTCTAATATTTGTTTAACATATCACCAAAGTTGTCCTATTTCAAGTGCTAAAGGTCTGGGAAAAAAATTAAAACACCAACAATTTTATTAAAAAGAAACCGCAAACAGTACTTACGTCGTTCAAAACTGTGCACTCGTAGCTCGGCTGGTACTTTTCCTGCTCGGATATCGGTCGCTTTAGAATCTTCTCGCGATCCTGCTTGTGTTTTCTGTCGGCACCTTTTAATTTGAACACTTTTATTTGACAAGCAGCCGCATGAAGACGCCTGGAACCATCAAAATTGTCGCTATTCTGATAAGTTTCCACTTGAATTCTAAACGGGACACCTTTTTCACCGCCATGCTTTTTGGGAGTGAATTCTGTACTGATACAGTTTATCTAAGAAAAAAAAACATCAATTTGTTAGTTAATGTTAAAATTGAGATTAAAGAAGTTTAAATTAAGTTAGCATTTACAAAAGTCTTTTTTTAATTAAAAAACATAACTTAACAAAAATGATAATTTCAATATCAGTTTATTAATTTAATGAAAGGCTTTTATTGCCTTAGTATTTAAACCAAAAAATCAGGGTTAGCTGACCACGCCAGGTCACATGGTCACCAAATCAGGTGGCCAGAAGCAAAAATTTTGCACAAAAAACATACTGTAGTAGGAGGAAGTTTAAGGAAGCAGCGGTTATGCAACAGAACCATGACTGCTTTTAAATTAGTGCAAATAAGGAACGCCTGGAAACCGTTGTTAAAAAGATAAGCCTTTGGAATTCACCATGCACAAATTCGTCACAGCTGGATCCACCCGGCCTAAATGTAAATAGACCCGTAGCTATTAAATATATTTGGTATTCATCTAAAGACAAATGGACAATGTAAGTCCAAAACCTTTTCTTTATTTAACAAACATTATTTTCTACAAACTTAAAACAAACACCAGCTTAATAATTGCACTGTGCTAGTTCAAAAATCTAACAAGCGGGGCAGCAGAAGTCGACTACGCTAAATCCAATAGTTCTATTCGTTTTTTTTAGATTAGCTGATATATACAGATTTTTTCTACTTACAACTTATTGAAATTCGATCAATGGAAATCGATTATTATAACCCTTTACTATTTAAAACCAAATAAATAATTGTTTGCAAATATTTAATTTATTTTTTTATATTAATTTTTATATTTATTAAAATTATATTTATAAATACAAAATGTCTAAACCGGTCCTGTGGCAAAAAAAAGTAAGCGAAAAAATAATGAAAAATCAATTTATTTTTTTACAACAGCTTCCATTCAATGTATATCATCAATTTAACTAACAAATGGACTAAAAATGAAAAAAAAATAATGTTTTTTATGGACTTTGGGTCTACACCTTAAATCTAAAATATCTCAAAAACAAGAGCTAACCTTAAAAAACGATTAGCACTATTGCATTCGGCGTACTCGAATAATTCATTCCATAATAATTATTAATCTACTCCTATTGCATAAAATTGTTTTTTTCCATAAATAATGATAAACATTATACATTCCCTGCCTAACAAAGGGAATAATGAACTCATTATTCACGTTGTAAGGCATTAGTGATTGGCCGATTTTAATATTCACTTTGGTTTAAACCAATCGGTTTCTAAATTGGGAGAAGGCGAATATAATAACATTTAAAATTGGTAAAAAGTGAGGTTAATCATTTTACAGATGTCAGATTTTATTTTTTTATTTGTGAAAATCATTTAATTTTCTACTTATTGGAGTAATAGTATAGTATTACACTCGAGATTATACCCATTATTCACTTGGATGATTTTTAGTCTCTCGTCTGGCGACTTGTGAATAATGCCTGAATTATTGTATAATATTAAACTATTAAAATTAATTCAAATTTGAAAACCTCTGCTTTCACGGTTATGACGTCCCACTTTTTACGTTTTAGAACACCCTGAATTTTCAATTTTTATTGACACCATTCGAAAATAGACGTTTTAAATGAGGAGCAACTTTTTAAATCGCATTATGTGCTTTAAACTAAATTTTTGGGAAAAAGACAAAAACCTGTTTTTGTAAATTGTAGGAACACATTTTTTTATTTTTTCCGAAAATTTTTTCCATAACCTCGATAACCTTAAATCCAAGTGCGGTACTTACCTTGATGTAAACTCCGACTTCTTTTGTAGGATCCCAGGTGAAATTGATAATGTTCAGTGCATTGGAAGGTTGAACAATATCAAAGGCACCATATGAGAGGGGAACATCAACTTCCAATATACGATCTCCTGGTCTTGCTTTTTGCCATAAAGTCATCTGTTCTTTCTCCATATACTGAAGTCGACGTTCGTGGAAGCAAATACGAATCACTGACTAAAAAAAGATGTTACTTATATAAAGGGTGTACCAAGAAGAATTTTGACATTGGACATGTCAAATTAAATACTATGCGTTAGTTCAAGAAAATGTCAAAAGACGTTTTAAAATACAAGCTTTATCTGAGGCGTGGAATAAATCGAACGTAACTTTCGTAAATTCGGCTTCTGGAGAAAACGTCGAAATTTCCTCAAAAATTTCATTTTAAATATCGGCATAAAATATCTTTTAAAGAGTTGAGGTTTGTTTTCATCATAAATTTCAACTAACGATTTTTTATAGAGGAAGTAAAAAAAATTAAGAAGGATTTTAAAAGGACGATTTCTGTGAAAAAATATTTTGTCGTGTAACAAAATGCGTTTTTCCTACTTTTGTGGTGGAATTTAAAAAAAATCAGTTGTGATGGGGCAATTATGAGATCTGATTTGAATTTAGGGCATTAAAAACTTGTTTTAGTTACCTTTAACATTTTCCCTCTGTGCATTGAAAGATCGCCCAGTTTTTTTAGCTTGATTTCATAGCTTTGGCCTTGATTTAGATAGGTAAGCGTGTCTTCGTTTTGTTTGGTTGCGATACTGGTTGCAGCTGCCAATACGTACTGGAATCGGTTATCTTCCATCAAGTGGTAGTTGGTGGAAGACACATTAAAGCTGTCCTGTGAGCTGGGAGACGCCAAATTGTTCCCTAAAAGACCATCACTTTGATAAAATTTAAAAAAAAAAGCTAATTGCTACTTAAACTTAAAAAACAATTTTTACTCAGCAATAGGAATATCACCTGACCGCACTAGAGAAATATAATTTTTTCTACTCCCACCTTTAAAACGCCCTTTATCGTACATGTTTCCATGACACTAAGTGACATTTTAAATACACATTGACAAGTTGTGGCTTTATGGCGCTTTATTCACGGGCTGAAGTTAGCAACCGGTTTTTAGTCACGGGCTGAAGTTAGTTTTAAGTTAGTTGACAGTTGTCAAATGTCATATAATCGTTAAAATAAAGTGCTTTTCTTGGAAAATGTAAAAAATATTTTATTATCTCAATACAAAAATACACAAGTATTAAATAGTTTCTCAACGCCAATATTTGAAAAGTTTATATGAACATTGTACTGACCTTTTCATTTCGCCGGCAGTAAACTATAACTTAAATTCGGGCACGGACTCCACTGTAAAGTCCTCATAAAACATTTTCTCTACTTTCACTGTGAAAAACTGTCAATTTTCAAGAAATACATTTCGATTTATAACCTTTATACAGGGTGTTATGTAATTAATGTTATATATTAAAATGGGTTGTTCCTTAGGGTCCATAAAGAAGCACCTGAAACTTTTTTTTCTAAATTCCAAAGTCTAAAAATAATTTATAATAACCTTTATCCTACCAAAAAGTACGCCAATGATCGACTAGAAACTTTAGGTTAATCTGGTGGATTTATTATGTTATGGTTGGTAACAACAGTATTTCCAAAATCTCTCAAAAAAGTTGACAAACATTGTTTAAATTTAGCTTAATTACAAAAATGACAAAATTAACAATGCAAATTGTCAATTTGGCGTTTTTATTAATTGTTGGTTGTTTCATTTTTGTACTGAAGGTAAATTCAAACAAAATCGGCCAACTTTTATGACAGAATCTAGTGCATTTCTTTTAAATTTTAGGTTATGTTTTCAAATTGTAAATATCTTAACTAAGAGAAGTGCTTTTGGGTTTATTTACACAAATTAAATGTTTAAAGTTTAACCTGTGAACTGGTCCCAATTTCATCTAAATAAACAGAGAAAAAAACTGATGAAAAAATTAATTTTGTGGTTATGGATTTCAAATTTCAAAGGTACTAAATTTTCTAATCATTGCTTAAGCTAATAGCTGGATCAGTAAATAAATACAGAAGGGTATTAGAGCTTTAAGGGCATAAAACTTTTGTATTTATTGAGTTTTTATTTATTTTTTGCAAGAAAAATTTTTAGTAACAATTTTTTACATCTGGCAACGCATAGCTACTTTGTTGGTTGGTATCTATGTACTCACAAAATACAGGTGTGCAGAGATAAACAAGTGTGTAACCAGTGGCGTATCACAAAAAATATAAAAAATGCATATTTTTTCTTTATCTTTGAAAAAATGTTTTTTAAAATATTTTTCCTTTATTCCTTATGTCAAAAGGTATTCAGTATTTTAATATATAACATTAATTACATAACACCCTGTAATCTGTGATTATAAAATACAAAAATGTGACATTTGACGGTGACACACAGATTCTATTGTTTCATAGATGGCGCTCTATACAAATTTTTGATTTAAATCATTTTAAGATAATAATAAGTATTTGTAGTAGAAAAAGTGTAGTATGCACCTCGTTTATAAACTTTTCTATACACTCATTAATTTAAGCACTCGCTTGCAAGCTCGCTCGTGCCTAAATTAAATTCGTTTATAAAATGGCGTTTATCAAACTTGATACATAATATACTATTTATAACTCACCTAAAAATAAACTAAATAAGAGAGTTGCTAATAGTAAAAATAAAATAATGATTAAATACCTACATAAAAGGTTTACCATAAACCATTTCTTAAAACTAAATAAATAAGCCCAAGGAAATTCGCAATTTTAACTATATTTTTACTACCCAAATGTAAGAGCACTCATGAAAGCAAAATTGTGAAGTTTTATTCTTTAGCGTTGTCCTCTGATTACGACTTTGTTGATTTAACCAAGTTGGTTATAACCATCGGGACGTCATGAGCTCAGAACTTTTTCATGACAGTTTTTACTGTACACAGACAATATCGCCAATTTAAAGGAATTTACGCGGAGTTTTTTTTTGCATTTCGTGTAAATCTCTGTGTTGAAGTAGTGATACCAGTGAATTAATGAATACGCTTTAAAAAATAGTCCTTTTATGTTGAAAATATTCACTTAAAATTGTTGCAGACTTTGAGTTATTATTTGAGTTTTGGAAATATTTATTGGCCATCAAATTATACCTAATAGCACAAATAAATTTAGTAATGTAATGATCCTTAATAATAATTAATAAATGACGCTTTATTTAACAGCCTTTAACAAAAAAATAACGTTAACAATAACCAAAATAGACCTTAAGTTGTTATCTTTATCTTATTTGCGGTTAAATGCGAATTTATTCTTTTTGCAAAGAAGTCCTCTACCATGCAGCTTTATCTGTTAGCTTTTTTAAGTTATAGATTGCCAACCACTACAAATAAACAGTGCTAATTATCCATAGCTCTATTTCAACTAATAAATGATTGGTCTTTTCTGCAATCCATTAGTAATATAAATGATATTTGTTAGCTATTTTATGAAAAAATAAGAATAAAAAGAATAATTATCCCCAGAAGTATATATTCACTAACTTTAAAATTACATTATTTTTTCAAAAAAAAAAATAAGGAAACAAAAAATGATACATATTACAGACAATTTTCTAGAATTCGCAAAATAATTAAGAAGGAAACGTATATTGCTTACCAATTGCCGGATAACAGCAAAATACAGTAAAAAATGGAAAATAAAATAGTATTTATTGTGTCAGAAGATATAGATGATTTAGACCGCATGTTTCGAAAATTAGTTGTCGAATTGGAAAAATGGGGTTAGAAAATTAATATTGAAAAAATAAATTATATGGTACCTACTAGGTAGACAAGGACATGATTTGCAAACTGACCAAGGCATAATAGTTTTTCCATCTATCTTTTAACATTCTAATAATAGCATATAGCAATATAGCATCCCTTGCGGATTGTGAATTCACCGTCACCGTGTTTAAACCGTCTGTTTGTGACATTTGTAAACGGTAGTTAGACGGTGAATTCACGCACTTTTCAAAGTATTTTAATTATGAATCCACCGTATTATTTTAATATCAAAAGATATTTGATTTATACGTGAAAATCAAATATATTTAATTTTTTAAAATGATCCTAAATTTACGGTACTTTCACAGTGAATTTGCGGTGATTTTGCAAACTTGAGTTCACCGTTAATTTACCGTGAAATCACCGTGAATTAACCGTGAAATCACCGTGAATTTATCGCAAAAACAGCATGAGTTCACCGTTTAATTACCGTCTACAAATGTCACAAATGGACGGTATATTCACTGCACATAAACGGTATATTCACGGTGAATTCACGCAAACGGTGAATTCACGGTGAATTCACCGTAAACTCAAGGCCGCAAGGGATTGCTAAAAATTAAAATGCATTTCGTAAGTCTGATCCTCATTTATTTATTTATAATAGCTAAGAAAAACATTGAAAATAAAATTAAAAGACTAATAAAACAATTACAATAGAAAAGCAAAATAAAATAATATACCTATTATGTATCTAGTTTGATAAGCGCCATTTTATACATGATTTTTAATTAGGCACAAGCGAGCTTGCGAGCTGAATACTATACTTTTTTAAGACAAATATTGGGTATAAAAAATATACCTATTAGTAATTAATTTAATTTCTATACAAAAATAGAGTAACCTGTGAATCTGATTTACCGGCTTTTAAAAAAAGCAGTTTTTAAGTAAAACCCTTTAATAATTTTGTATTTTTGTATTGAGATAATAAAATAATTTTAACAGTTACTATTATTTTACAAGAAGGGCACTTTATTTTTAGGATTGTATGACATTTTATAACTGTCAACTAACTTAAAGCTAACTTCATCCCATGACTAAAACGACATAAAGTCACAGCTTTTCAATGTATATTTAAAATTTCACTTAGTGCACAGATTATAATTGAAACTTAGTGTCGGATAAATGAACGATAATGGGCGTTTTAAAGGTGAGATAAAAAAATAATGTTTAGCACTTTTCTTTAGTGGTACAGTAACTTATGGAACAGAAGCAATATTTTAAGAAATAAAATAAATTCAACATAATATACTGGAGGAGATGTATGAAAACGTTTTTGGAAAGGTGAGAAATAAAGAGATACGATAATTGAAATATAATTTTGGATAGTATTGAAAAAAGCAATTGTTATGGTAGAGACAAAGACTTGCAGATGAGTCAAACCACATCAAATGTGTAATTTTTTTGGAAATTAACGATAATTGTTTAAAATCTTTAGATAATAACTAAACAAAAAACACTTTTTGCAATTCCGCACCGTTTTTATTATTTTTGGTACATACCTATAAGAATAAAAAAAACTCTTTTGTGTACAGGAAAATAAGAAAGCAGTACATTTTATAAAATTTTCACTGCAATGGTAGGCCTAAAAGGTATAAATAATTGAATATATTTAAATAATTGTTATAAAAAACTATACGAGAACAGAATCATATCATTTAGCACAGACAATTTTTTATTTTTTACATTATTTCAGAGAATATTGGCAAACACAAAAGAAAAATCGAATTTAATTATTATTATAATAATAATTAGATTCAATAGATTTTTCTTTTGTATTTACCAATATTGTCTAAAATAATGTAAAAAATAAAATATTGCCTGGGTCTAATGAAATGATTCTGGGCTCGTATAGTTTTTTATTATACGAGAAATAATGCGCATAATTTGGAGTGTAATACTACTACTCCAATAAGTAGATAAATAAATGATTTTCAAAATTAAATAAATAAAATCCGTCAAATGGCTAACATCACTTTTTACAAATTTTAAATGTTATTAGAATGGCCTTCTTCCAATTTAAAATCAGATTGGTTCAAATCATAGTGAATATTGAAATCAACCAATCACTGATGCCTAACAACTTGAATAATGAGTAATTTATTCCAGTTAGAAAGAGAATTTATAATGTTTATTAATATTTACGGAAAAAAACAAAATTATGGTAAAAAACTGTCAAATTTTTTTTAACGGATTATTGCGAAATAGTCATGAGATATTAATTTGTCTTTTAAATACTGTAACATTCTTTGGTACTAAAAATAATAAAGATAGTGCGGAATTTCAAAAAATATTTAAGTGTTTTTTTAGTTATCATCTATAGATATTTCCAATTATCGTTATACATATTCCAAAAAATTAAAAAGATCGCATTGACACATTTGACGTGGTTTAACTCAGATGTAAGATCACCAAAACAAATTTGGAAATAAAAACCACAAAATTGAAGAAAAAGGGGAAGAACACGCGTTTTAAATTATTATTTTTCCTTCAGTGCCTCTGAGGTACAGATATATTAATAAAGGTTATCCAAAATTCTCATAATTTTAATTGTCACGCCCTTTAATTATATTTCGATAATTTTTTGTTTTTTCTACTCACATAAATTATTTGGATTTAAAATATTTTTTGAAGTATTAGGTAATTTAATTTAAAATTTTTTTTGTATAAACGAAGGGGTAAGAAGCAAAAGGATACAAGTGCAAATAAGAGAAGTGGATTAACTCATACAATAAAACTACCCAATTCTGCACTTTACTTATTTTCATGCTAAAATGCACTTGTACCATCTTGCTTCTTACCCCTTCAAATATCTTTTTTTTTCCTCTTACCATCCATAACATTCTGTAAATTGACAAATCCAGTTTGGCTCAACAGCTGATTGATGGTATTATTGAACATGTTCTGGCTGTTGTTGTCCTCCATGTTGCTGAGGGCAACAATAGGGCCTTGTTGCGTGGACGTGGGGCTCTGTCGGCTCTCCCTGGCCACTTGGAGGTTGGTCATGTCATTGGACCCCGGCGAAGGGGCCTCCTGTTTCAGGACTGTCATGTTGTTGATTTGCAGAATTGCATCGCTAAAATGAAAAAATACACTTTGTGATTTAAATAAAAAAGTAAAAAGAAATAAAATATTTTTATCATTTAAAATATTCAACAATCAACTAAGTAAAGCTATACATACTAAATAAGTTCGTCTATAGAAAACATAGTTTTAAAAATCCATTAACTCATGCAACTTTAATTGACCAGTCTGAGAACAACTAATTTACTAACAATTCTAAAATTGGTCTTCACAATTCTGGACATTTTATAATTTAAAAAACACTTAAAGTGCTAAATTTATCACGTTTTAATAAGCTAGGTTAATTGATAAATTACAAGTCTAACTTATGGTTTTGTTTGTTAGGATATTCATATCTATATATATGTTTTAATTTTCCTTGGGTATATATTTATTTTAAGGGTGGTTTTCTGTCAATACGAGTTGTTTACCTGTATGAATTATTAGCCAATTCCGATCCAAGGCTAAGGGAACTGTCAATTTCTTCGTTGAGTTCATTATAATCATCCACTGTCCAATGAGCGGTCCGATCACCTAAAAAATACGTTTTTATAGAAAAAAGAAATATTTGTATTTTCCACCTACAGTACGCATTTGTAAAAAAAAATCATATTTTATAGTTCTTTTGTAATGCAACACTTTTTCGTGTTTTTTGATATAATTTTGTAATATACATTTTATTTTACTTAAAAGTAAACTTCATTTTAATTAATCTGGTTAATAATACAAATAAAATTAATATTTAGGAATGCAGACCTATTAAATTAATTATTATTAGTAATATATCAAACAAATCGTTTTAAAATTGCATAAAATTAATCTGCATGCAATAATTGAATGTAAATTTTATAGATAAACAAACCTATAGGTAATGTATTTTAACTTAATACATTTAAGATATTTCTATATATATATATATATATATATACTGGGCCAAAAAAATCAACTATTTTCAAATATTCAAGGTTAAAGTAGAAGTCAAAACGAAATTCTTGTTTTTTCCTCTGCAGATTTATTTTTTTATGGATGATAATTTGATTTTTTTATTTATAAATGTGTATTATAAAACTAATTAACAATTTCCAATAAATAAACAACATGATTGTTATTACTTAAACGATTAAATAGGTAACAGTGAAAATAATATTTTCTAAAGAAAATAGCTTCTTAAAGCGAAAAAATCCTGTATTATTTTTTTTTTAATTTTCAGTAATTTTATCAATAACATAAATATTATCATCGATAAAAGAATTTAACACCCAAAAAAAAAAATCTAGAGCGGAAAAAACAAGAATTTCGTTTTGACTTCAAATTTAACCTTTAATAACTTTTGATGTCCAGAGTGAATTTAGCCAAAAATGTTAGGAGACTTTTTTTGTAGAGCATTTGATTTCCCATAAGAATATCTATCGGTTTTTTTTCCGGGTACTGATTTTTACATAAATTACAAAATTCCAAAGTTAAAAAATCAAATGGAAAACTATACGAATTTTTAAGGCATGATTGTAAGAAATCGGTTAATCTGACGGAAAATTCCAATTTAACCTTTTTTGAAGAGCATTCAATTTTCTTCAAAAAAGATTCTTAAGACAATTTTATAAAACTCAATGGTTTGGGAGTTCTGAGACAAAAACTCGCTCAGGAAAAAAATCTTAAATTGCACTTAATATTAATATTATGGACTCAAACTTTCACCATAATTTTTTGTTCCAGTCTAATATCTATATATATATATATATATATATATATATATATATATATATATATATATATATATATTAGGGTGGCCCAAAAAAAAAAGAATATTTTTTTTCTTTTCGTCTCTTGTAAAAATATGTTAGTTTATCATGCTGTAAGAGCCCTTTCAAAATATCAGCTCGATTAAAAATTTTGTAGGGGTCGCTCAAGATTTTTAAAAAATTTCAAAATCGTCAAAAATTGAATTTTTGTTTTATTTTAATTCTTTTTCTCGTCTCGATATTATTTTTTAGGTTGAAAATAATAAAAATTCTGTTAATTTCAAATCAATATTTTGATTTCTAAAGGTCGCTAAAAGTTCGTTGATATTTATATTCAGAGGTCGCTCAAAAACATTCAAAATACTCTACTTTGAAAGTTAAAATAATCTTGAGCGACCTTTAGAAATTAAAATATCGATTTGAAATTTTCAGAATCATTATTATTTTTAAATTAAAAAATAATATTGAAACGAGAAAAAAAATTAAAATAAAAAAAATCCAATTTTTGACGATTTTGGTAATTTTTAAAAATCTTGAGCGACCCCTAAAATTTTTTTAATGGTGCTGATCTTTTGACAGGGCTCTTAAAACATGACAAACCAACATATTTTCACAAGAGACGAAAAGAAAAAAAATATTCTTTTTTTTTGGGCCACCCTAATATATATATATATATATATGTATATATACAATGTACATCGTACATATGTACATGTTTAAAACAGTAACGATTTATGTAATAATCATTTCATAATTAGGTAATTATCGCGGTAGTATGCCCGTATACCGAATTATGGACAGTTACAAATTCCCATGTTAAAAACTTTCCAAAGAGTAATATTGCGATTTTATACGTGGGCTATGTTTAATTGGATTTATTCAATTTTTTTGTTAGTTAAAAATCAATTAAAAAAATATCCTGTCCCAAAAGATTGACCATGGAGCCGAATTTCCTAAGATAAGAGGGCGCTGGTGTTCCGTTTATTCTTAAACAATTGACTGATTTGTAACAAAACGCTACCAAACGAGCAGACGTCAGTACGCATCGACAATCAGCGCCGCTGGTGGTGAAAAAAAGAGACTTAATTTGTGCAATTTAGAGGGCAGTTTTTGTAAATTTTCCCTATTATGTTCTGGCTCCTTTTGTAGGCTCCATGAGATTGACCTTCAATAGAAATGTAAAAAAAATCCAATGATTATTTATTGAAAAAAAAATTTAAAATATAAAAAAAAATATTTTACATTTAAATTTCTAATCTTTTAGGGGTACGGATTAAAATATATTTTTATGTAGGATGGCCAAATCACCAAAATAACATATATATTTTAGAGTAGTATGCGCGAAACGAGATAGAACAGACCTTGTTGTGTGGATTGTGAATGAAAGTACAGAATTATTAGACGCTTGAAAAAAATAATCTATACAACACGGCGGAGAAAGCATATTAACTGCCTCGCTCAGATCTGCTGCCTCGACTGGCGTGTCGGCAGCGAACACAGCTTTAATAAGCGCTTTCTCCGCCTGTTAGATAATTTCTATTACTTTATTAATTATTGAAAAAATCGATTTAGTAGCCATTATTTCGATTTTTATTCTAGAATTAAAAAAATGACGTTAAAGAATTATAAGGGGAAAATTTAAGTTTTTATTTCTTGGCACATCACTCAACCATGTCAACCTAAATAAATTACTGTTTTTAAATACATAATATGTATATATATATTATATAATATTGCAGCTTTCACAAACAACGTTGTTATTTTTTTTTAGTACGTTTTAATAGTGTATATTCTTTATCAGCGCCGGATTTAGGGGGGGTCTTTGGGGGTCTATAGACCCGGGGCGCAAGCTTACAGGGGGCGCAAAATTTTTGACTGGTAATTTTTGTTTTTTACTACAAACTAAAAGGTTTTCCCCTTTTTTTTTCGTGTATTAATCAGTATTAATAAAAAAATTATTTAAATTATAACCGTGATTGTTGCCATAGTATTATTATCTATGCATAGTATACGAAATATGTCATGTCACGAATTACGTAGGGCGCCCGACAAGTTGTTGGGCGACAAGAACTTTAGTTTGCAGAAATTGATTATTTCCACCGATGCGATGCGTATGGGCGTAAAGGTTTTTTAATATAAGAATATTTTATTACACTACGAACAACTATTAATTTAAATTAGTTTAAAACTATAGTTATATACAGTACCAGTCATATATATATGTATGTATATATACAGTATAGGTATTAGCCTATTGAAAGATGACGTCAATATTGCGATAAACAAATTTGCTTCTCTAAAAGCACGCAAAGTTGAGTTGGCAAAATGTTAATTTTCTTATTTATGTATTTGTTTTTTATATAGTTTTTGTTTATGTTTTAGGGTGGCAATATTTTTTCGACATTTTTTTTTATTTCGGAGCTCACATGAAACAATTTAAGTTTAAAGTATTCAAGTTTCAACTCAAAAAAAAATAAACGTCGCTCAAAAAAATCAACTAAATTGGAAAAATAGTAGTGGTTACAAGATCAAAATTATTAAAAAAATCAAGAAATGTATTTCAAAAATATTGAGCGACCAATAATATTTTTACTTAAAAATGTATTCTGTTCCTATACGACCTACAAAAAAAATAGTGAGAAGCCAAAGATTTTGAGAAAAAAGGTTGGTTTAAAAAAGTTTTGAGCGACGTCTAAAATTTTTTTATCTGTTGAAACTCAAATACTTTAGACTTATTTTTTTTATTTGATCTCCAAAATCAAAAAAATTTCGAAAAAATACTACAACCCTAATGTTTATGGTTAAATAAAATCCTTTTGTTAAGAAGTGACATTTCTTTTAATTTATTATATAGGTAGGGGCGGAAAATTTTTATTAGACCCGGGGCGCAAATTTTTTAATCCGGCGCTGTTCTTTATCCCAAGATAAACCCGGTTATCCTGTTAAGATTCAAATAACAAAAGATTCGTTAAAATTTTGTTGCAGCATGGTGTCAATCTGATTCATATGGCAATGCTGTGCCATTTGTTAATTTAAAAGGTCGCGTTATTATTGCTGACGTCACTGAGCAATTTTTTACTTAACAGTGTGCTGTTTTGTTAATTTTTTATTTAATGCTTCCTCCAACCCAAATTTAACGAAAAAGAGTCATGAAAAGGATTTCAAATAATATTTAAAGAATGTATGTTTAAAGATTTTTTTTTAATGATACAAATTTATTTTATATGGGTTAACATGTGTCCAGGAAATAGCAAACTTTTACCTTATCACGTTATTAAAGTAGTTTTTCAGTTGAAAGTTTAAGGACTATTTCCTTATTTATGTGAAAGGATTACCTATCTACTGACGATTCGAATAAAAAGTTAAAGTGTTAATTTTATGATGATTTCAGGGCTCCCACGGCTAAATTACAAATTTTATTTAGGAATTCCTAAATAAAATTTGTAATTTAGGAGGTTTTTTGGAGAATTTTAGGAGAAAAGTATGCAAATGAATTTATGTAATTAAATAAAAACAACTCTACACTGTACTTAAAAAATAAGAAAAAAATAAATAATTATTTTTAACAAAAATATAAATAAATATCATTTCTTTTGTACAAATAGGTTACATTGACTAGTTTTTTAGCAAACAAGCTCAACGAGTTTTTTTAATAAAATTAAGTGAGGTAAAATTACAACTTTTGATCTGAGGTATATACACAAGTAAAAATTTTATTAAAAAAAAACGCGTCGATAGATGTGACTAAAAAACTAGGCCAAAGTCAAATGATGTTGTATTTATATCTTGAGAAAA